TCAGGAGCTCTCTCCCAGACCCAAGATAGTGACTGAGATGGCTGGATTTTTGGTTCCTCGTCCTGACACAAGCAGCCATCGCAAATATTATCAACTTATAAATGCATCAGAATCTGAAACAGAAAAAATATTGTTAGTTGGGTTGTTAAAGAATGAAGTCAGAAAGCAATGTTCACTATTTAATTGTAATGCACTAATGCAGCTGTACGTTAGATTTTCGATAAATTTCACGCTAAAATTTACCTAGCAAAAGGTTGCAAAATATTGAAACTGAAATTATTTTCTGTTTATATACACTAAAATCTACCAAAAAAGTGATGGGCCATTAGTTTTAGCTGATCTTCCCTCCTATGACACACCCTAACGTTACAGTCGCCTACTATACAGACTTTGCTATGTATGTAAGCCCTGCGCATTACGTCCCAGATAAATCGCTCATTAACTCTATCAAGATTAGGAGGTCTATATATAACTCCTGTGATTAATTTTTTCCTACCATCGATTAATTCTATCCAAATTGTTTCTGTATTCCTCTCAGTTTTGATTTCCTTATTTATTTCACAATTAAGATTATCCCTGACATAGATTGCTACTCCGCCTCCTTTCCTAATCTGCCTATCGGTATGGAATAATTTGTAACCTGCAATTTGGTATTCGACACGTAACTCACGTGAGTCTAGGTTTATCCATGTTTCGGTGAATATCTATTTTTTCGGTACATACCAAGGCCCTAATATCATCCATTTTGATTCTCATGCTTCTACCGTTTGCATAGTTGACATTTAAGTTAGTTATGTTCCGAGTCCTCTCTTTGTCGCGTTTAGGTTTTAACTTCCTGCCTAATTTAGTTTTGTCATAATTCCTAGCATCTATTTCCGTGTAACCTTTCACTATGTTTACCCGCTCCCACTACAGTCTCCTCCAACCCCGTGCTCATACGTTCCCCTAGCAGTTTAAAGACTTCGACATCTTTTGAACTGCCCTCTCGAGAGATCTCAATAAGAGTTGCCACTCCATCCCTAGACAGATGCACCCCATCCCCAGCATACAGGTCCCTTCTGCCATAGAAGTTGTCCCAGTTGTCAATGAATGGTACTGATATTGACTTGTAATATCTGTCAAGACAGCCGTTGACACCAACTGTCCTTGACAACCATTCATTGCTAACTCTTCTTCTAGGCAGGACACCACATATGATATGGATTCCTCCCTTAGACCTATACAGTCAGATACCGGCAAGGTAACTGATAACGACGGAGAAATGAGCAATAATCTGAATAAATATTTTTCAACAGTTTTCCCCACAGAATATTTGAACACGATACCCGAGGCTCCGACTCTATACAGAGATGGTGAAGAAAATAAATTAAGCGAGATAGTAGTGACTAGTAACGATGTTAGTAAGTGTTACGAACCACGCCATCAATTGTCATGATCTACCTACCCAGCACTACGAACCACGCCATCTATTGTCATGATCTACCTACCCAGCACCACTAGCAACGCCATCTAGGGACGAAACCCGAGTATGACTAGTCTTAGTTACCACTCCGGGGTTTCCCTTCTCCATATCCTGGTTGTTGCGGCACATCCTCCAAGTCTTCCTCATCAGCTCCAGATCGAGGAGAGTTCAGTTCACTCTGGGAAGTGACCACACTAGGATCACCTATCCTGGAAACCTACGGCACAGTGACTACCTACCATCTTCTTCAATACTCAGCCTTACTCGTCAGACATCTCAGCTCCGCACTTAAGTATTTGTTATCCTATATTGCCTCCCCGCGTCCACTTGCTTCAAATTGTTTTATGTTGTATAAATATGTACATACTGTTAAGCCAATGTTGCGTATATTTAGGTTAAGTATGGTTAAGGGTAAATTATAGAAAGCTGAATATTTTGTTAAGGAATTTATGGTACTTTATTATACACAACAAAAACTCGCATCCTTTGTCTACCCTTTTATAGTCCGATTGTCTTTGTTTTTTATTGTTGCTGCCTGTTGGGATCTGGGTAGAATTTTAACTATATTCTAAATCCCCAACTCGTAAGAGTAAGCAAATAGACAAACTAAAGCCTAATAAGTCACCAGGTGCCGATGAGATATTTGCCAGAGTATTAAAGGAATGTAAGGAAGTGCTTAGAATGCCCTTAGCAAAGTTGTTGTTTAACATGTCCTTAAAAACGGGTGTAGTACCAGAATCCTGGAGGATATCGAATGTAATACCGATTTTCAAAGAGGGGACATAGATCACTATCCTCTAACTACCGACCAATGAGTCTAACATCAATTGTAGGCAAATTACTAGAAGCAATCATTTCAAACTCTATTCGAAATCACCTGGAGAAGCACAAGTTGATCAATGATTCACACCATGGCTTCACAAGTGGGTGTTCATGTCTAACTAATATATTAACATTCTTTTCATCTGTTTTCGAATAAGTGGACTAGAGGCACAATTATGATGTGGTATACCTCGACTTTAGGAAAGCCTTCGACAGAGTCCCCCACGAAAGACTTATAAGAAAAGTGGAGGCTCATGGCATTAAAGGAGATATTCTAAAATGGATTAGGGCGTGGTTACAGGACAGGAAACAGCGAGTGAGCATTAACGGCATTAAATCCCACTGGAGCAACGTCACTGGTGGAGTTCCTCAAGGCTCAGTACTCGGACCATTATTTTATTATATTCATAAACGACATAGATATCCTGCGTAGACAGCAACATAGGTAAATTTGCTGATGACACTAAAATAGGGCGTGTAATTAAATCTGACGATGACTCCACAAAACTACAGGAAGATCTAAAAAAAATTTCGATTGGTCTGAAAAATGGCAGACAAGATTCATTGTGAACAAATGTAAAGTACTCAGCATAGGAGATGTAAACAGGAAACCAGATACCGGATGAACAACGATGTTATTGAGTAATCCGACTGAGAGAAAGATTTAGGAGTATTAAGTAGGAATCTTAAGCCAAGTAAACAATGTGTATTTGCTCGAAACAAGGCTCGGTTCATACAAAGGAGTGTTAGTTAAAAGACTAGCTAGGTCATCTTAAAACTATATCTTGCGCTTGTGAGACCCCACTTGGATTACGCAGTTCAATTCTGGTCACCGTATTACAGAATGGACATAGAATCCTTGCAAAGAATTCAGAGGAGAATGAAAAGATGAATCCCGGGCTTTAGGAACCTTGAGTACAGAGACAATGAAAAAGCTTCTTAATTTGCACTCCCTCGAGAGACGTACAGTGAGGGGCGATATGATCGAGGTGTATAAATGGACGTCAGGGCTGAACAAAGGGGACATTACAAAGGTACTCAAACTATCCAACCAGGAGCGAACTCTTAACAATGGTTTTGAATTAGACAAATTTAGATTTAGGCGCGAAATAGGTAAACATTGGTTTGGAAATAGAGTAGTGGATGAGTGGAACAAGTTACCAAACATCATAATTAACTCGAATACGCTGGATAGTTTCAAACATAGGTTGGATGGTGTTACGCCGTCTCTTAATTTACTTAAATATCCAGGTTCTAGGCGTAACCAAACAAAAAAAGTGAAGTAAATTAAAAGGGAATAAAAATAAATAATGTAAACCTTTTAGAATTTAATTAATTAAATATTAACACAAAAAAGAGCCTCGTAGGCTGTCACAACAAATTGATTCACCATCGAAACTTTTAAGACACAAATGATACTAAACATCGAAACATCAAAAGAATAAAAATAAAGCATTGGATTACGTTAACACTGCATAAACATCTAAAAACTAACACTGAAATTAACTAACGTGAAACAACACTGAATTACCTAAATGTAACTAAGCAAATACTGATGGACATAAATAGAGACACAAATAGGTATTCACATATATATACCACATTGGTGGCGACAGGAACAACACAAATAAATTAAGTATAAGTAACAGGTGACGAGTGACACTCAAAGGATGTGGACTGTATGACAAGAGGACTGAACTAACTCCGTCAGTTGGTGGGTCCTATATATAAGGTCGGTTCCCGCCACGCGACCCGCCGGTGGGTCGTTTAACGATGCAGATGGTCGTTAGAGAACAAAGAATGCTGGTTACACTACAAAATGGGTTTGAACAAATAATAACAGTTAAAACCTTAACAGCACAGGGTTAAGGTGACTAGATTATATAACAGTAAATACAACACATCATTACAGGAATAATATGGAACATGGAAGCATGTTATATAAAAAAAAAATAGAAAAATACGACACGGTCGTAACAATGGATATATGAGCAATGGGGGTTGGGTGTAAATGGCAGTGCCCAGTATAGGCCAATAGGCCCGCTGTAGTTTCCTCCATTCTCATTTTCTTATGTTCTCCCCACCACACTTTCTCCCCACCACCTCAACACACCCTTCTCCCCACCACCCCAAGACGCCTTTCTCCTTACCTCCCCAACACACCCTTCTCCCCACAACCCTAACACACCCTTCTCCCTACCACCCCAACACACCTTTCTCCCTACCACCCCAACACACCACTCTCCCCACCACCCCAACACACCCTCTCCCCACCACCCCAACACACCTCTCCCCACTATTGAACTTCTCACAATTTGTAGTGGTTGCTTAAACATATTATACGAACAAATACAAGTTACAGTGGATGGTTAAACCTATCACATGAAAATACTGACAAGTGAGGGTGGTTTTGGCTGACCTGGAGGGCGCTGACTCCGTCGATTGTGTGTGAGGTGAAGGCTTCACTCTCCAGTTTGTACTCCAGCAGCCTACGCTCACCCTCAAACACCACTCCCAGTCCCTCCTGCAACTCTCAAGCTTCTCAGTAAAATAAAGAATTTACTCATACAAAACAATATAAAAAAATAATTAAGATATATATCACAACATTAAGGTCAGTCAAACATATATACGACCATTAATAATAGAAGAGTTCAAAGAAATTACTAACTTAAATATTTAACTATACTGTCATATGAAAGAGGAAACTGTAATGTCGTACGTTAACTTTTTTTCAATAAAATAGAATTAGTTTTAAGTTCGGACGCTGAAGAAAGACCACTCTGAGAGTGGACGTGGACACTGAGATGGACGTCCTAGGCGTGGACGTTCCCAGGGTGTGGGTGTGGTCACTACTTTGAGAAGGACATCTTGGGTGTGAACACCACTTTGAGAAAGACACCCTGGGTGTAAACACTACTTTGAGAAGGACACCCTGGGTGTAAACACTACCTTGAGAAGGACACCCTGGGTGTGAACACTACTTTGAGAAGGACACTCTGGGTGTGAACACTACCTTGAGAAGGACACCCTGGGTGTGAACACTTCCTTGAGAAGGACACCCTGGGTGTGAACACTACCTTGAGAAGAACGCCCTGGCCATAGGTGAGGTCCCGGACGCTGAATACGAGGTAGCATTTCTGGGTGTCAAAGGGGTAGAGGTGAAGGTCGAGGTGACACCTGAACTCTAGCGTGTCTTGTTGTTTGTACATCAGGGTGTTGTTCTTCCCGCTGTACGTGTGATCTGTTCGTACGCCATTTACACTATACAGTATACGTGCGCCAATTACACTATACACTTGCTCCTCTTACACTTTAAACGTGCCACACTTAAGCGTTACACTATACAGTATAATGTATGTGCAACCATAATTAAAAGTTACTTCTTGATAAGTAAAGGTTTTGTACACTTGGCAGACAGCCGACTAAACAAGTGGTGCTACGTTGACAGTTTGCTGTATACTGGGATAATACTGTATACTAGGATAATACTGTATACTAGGGTAATACTGTATACTAGCATAAGACTGTATACTAGGATAATACTGAATACTAGGATAATACTGTATACTAGGATAATACTGAATACTAGGATAATACTGAATACTAGGATAATACTGTATACTAGGATAATACTGAATACTAGGATAATACTGTATACTAGGATAATACTGTATACTAGGGTAATACTGTATACTAGGGTAATACTGTATACTAGGGTAATACTGAATACTAGGATAATACTGTATACTAGGATAATACTGTATACTAGGGTAATACTGTATACTAGGATAATACTGAATACTAGGGTAATACTGTATACTAGGGTAATACTGTATACTAGGGTAATACTGAATACTAGGATAATACTGTATACTAGGATAATACTGTATACTAGGGTAATACTGTATACTAGGATAATACTGTATACTAGGATAATACTGTATACTAGGGTAATACTGTATACTAGGGTAATACTGTATACTAGGGTAATACTGAATACTAGGATAATACTGTATACTAGGATAATACTGTATACTAGGGTAATACTGTATACTAGGATAATACTGAATACTAGGGTAATACTGAATACTAGGGTAATACTGTATACTAGGGTAATACTGTATACTAGGATAATACTGAATACTAGGATAATACTGTATACTAGGATAATACTGAATACTAGGATAATACTGTATACTAGGATAATACTGTATACTAGGATAATACTGTATACTAGGGTAATACTGTATACTAGGATAATACTGAATACTAGGATAATACTGTATACTAGGATAATACTGTATACTAGGATAATACTGTATACTACTGTATACTAGGGTAATACTGTATACTAGGGTAATACTGTATACTAGGATAAAACTGTATACTAGGGTAATACTGTATACTAGGATAAAACTGTATACTATGATAATACTGTATACTAGGATAATACTGAATACTAGGATAATACTGTATACTAGGGTAATACTGTATACTAGGATAAAACTGTATACTAGGATAATACTGTATACTAGGGTAATACTGTATACTAGGGTAATACTGTATACTAGGATAAAACTGTATACTATGATAATACTGTATACTAGGATAATACTGAATACTAGGATAATACTGTATACTAGGGCAATACGTGTATCGCTTTATTTACCGTTTGGTTTTGTTTTTAGGGTAAAATGTATTTTGTTTTATAATTCCCATAATAGCTTACATAAAGTTATGATCTGTGTCCATATTGAAGAAATTTCATCTGGTTCGTTAAGAACTATCGGTGTCATTATAAATTGTTGTACAGTTGCCTCCAATTGCCCTCACGCAGGTAAAAGATGTCGAATGCAGTTCCGTAGTCATGGGCGTAAAACCGTGGTTGAATCTCTTTGCCAGTTCCCTTAGTTCAGTCCTAGCCACTTGGTCGTGGCTACACTACAAAGTTGCATAAAACAAATAAATAAACCATTCGTTTGATAAGGGCTCTTCAGCATTGATGTATGGCCAAACAAACAAGGGAATTACACTATCTCACGGTACTTTTTGCCACACCTCTAACCCGAACCCTTAAACACTCCCAGTCTCTGGTACAGTTGCGGAAATGTCTTCCTATCACCCCTGAGGCTATCCGTGTCTGCAAACGGCTAACCTATATGACCTATAACAAACCTATCCACCAATCACGTCCGTCGTTACACGACCAATAACCATTCATTCAAAAGCAGTGATACTAATACTGAAACGTTGCCGTTTGGAGTCACGGGTTACCACAGGGGGCAAGGAATTCCATTTCCACAACTGTACAAACTGCAGTACGTTCATGTGGAGGCAGCTGTACCTTGTATGACGTCACAGCTTTCTAAACGGATTTAGTACTAAAATTATTGTAAAAAAAAATCTATATATATATATATATATATATATATATATATATATATATATATATATATATATATATATATATATATATATATATATATATACATATATATATAATATTCAGAAATTCAGAGTAATTTCAAACGCCGCGCCTTGGGCGATGCTGAGTTCAAGGTCGTCTGAGGGAAGACTGCGCTCCCTGCATGTAGCGAGAGGTTGTGGAACTAGGCCTATACGATACTAATGTAATTTACCGAATTAATATGGAGACGAATTATGAAACTAAATATCAGTTATTAGTTAGGCGGAAAATATGTCACGTAGGCCTAAGCTAACGCCTTGAGAGGACACGAGGCTGGCTAGTCCTCAGTCACGCGAAAGCGATCTGACCAACAAGACGTCCCTGCGCATCCGTCCACAGAAATAGTCACGTGGCCTAGTCACCTGTGTTGCGCTATTGCAGTATAACGAGTAAGTCTCATTCCATCTCAGATAGGGGTTAGATAGGGCAGTGATAAAGTTATCAAGAGCTAACAGTGAGTTAATTTCAGGTTTCCGTCAGAACCCACTTGACTGCCAGAGTGATAACTGCGAGAGATTGACTGCCGTTTGAGACTGCCGTTGATGATTGAGGATTGGCGATTGTCGCCGTTGGACCGCTCAGTGTAGGCCTGTCACTGTTTAGCTGGGTAGCAAAGAAGCTCTTGAGTGAACCTAGCCGTCTGGGTGCCCAGCTAACGACGGGACGATCGTTGGGGTCAACAGCTCTCCTCTACCTCGGCTCACAAAACCACATATCTCAAGCAGCTTAGTGAAACCCTTTTGCTAACGGGAAGCTAAAGCTTCTCTCAACTGTACAAGGTCTGATTGGCTCACTCCCTTCCGCTTCATGGATGTAATGGGGGTAAAGTGAAGCCAGCTGAGAGATACAGGGTCGCACACTGGGGCCAAGAGTCAGTGGAGTTTAGAGGTACACTTTCCAAGGTGGAGAAAGGCTGGTTTGGGCCTTAAACTACGGGTGCCTATTGGTTGTGCCTTAAAACACTACGGAGCGCAGGTGGAATCTATGTGTTAGGTTAGGAAGCATGGTTCACGGGTATTGGTGGACTCAGTAACTTCTTAATAATAGTGATAACATTTTTGTGTGTACTTAGTACTATTTTTTCAGTTACTAATGTATGCTGTGTGCATTTAATATTTCCTTATAATTTCAATCTCAGGTATAACCCTTGTTCCCCAGAGTAGTGTTTAAGTTAGGTTAGGAGGTGTGTATCTGTTGGGGTAATATAATTTTGTTGAGCGCCCTGAAGGCCTATTCAGGGTGGAGTTAATAAGTTCTGATTTTTATACCATTTTCTCAGTGCTGGATATAATTTTGGTGAGTGCCCTTGAGGCCTATTCATTGTAGAGTTATTAATTTCTTATTTTTTTAATACCATTTTCTCAGTGATTGATATTTTGTTGAAAGCCCTTAAGGCCTGGTTCGTGTGTGCAAGCAACATTTCTTAACACTTTAAACTTATTGTCCTCTAATGAGGCATTGCCTGAGTTCTAATAATTTCAACATCATGTACAACTTTTATTCCCCAGAGTAGTATTTTAAGTTCAGGTTAAGAAGTGGGCATATTGGTGTACCATTATTTGATTGTGTTTGTAGTGTTGGAGGGAATATAAGTGTAAATTTTACAGTGTGTCTCATTCATCCTAGTCACAGACGCTATCCTTCCACGGGTCACGGACAATTCATTTTGTTTTGAAAATTTAAGTGTTCCTGTGCTGGTTCGGGATTTCTCTCAAAGGGGTGCTTCCACTGCAATTACCACCTAATAATCTTTAATAAACCCCAAGTCAAGTGAGAAATTAAAGTCCAGTAATTCCGACCGGTTACATCAGTTTCCATACAACGTATCACCAACGCCATTACAAGCTTAACTCCAGCTGTGCTTGAACGTGTTCTTCAGCAGTGGAGGACACGCATTGAAGAGTGTTTTCAACAGAATGGTAGTCATGTAAAGCATATTATATAAATAAAAATGGATTTTCATATAAAATTTATTTTTCCTATGTATGGAAATTTATGGGACACCCTGTATATATACTGTATATATATATATATATATATATATATATATATATATATATATATATATATATATATATATATATATATATATATATATATATATATATATATATATATATATATATATATGATGAACTAAGAAGCATTGAACTATCACCAGATATTACAGTACTGTATTTATAAACTACTGAGAATCTTCGATATTTAAGAAGATAACTGAACCATTTAAATAAATTGTGAAGCCAGCGAAATTTTTTTAACAAAACAGTGTAATAACTTCGTTTTAAAAAACGTCTTATGAATAATATAAAAAGACTTCTTTCGTTATTACTGAAATTTAATTAACTTTTATATCATACAAAATGGGCGTGGATAGCTTTTATATCATACAAAATGGGCGTGGATAGCACAAAATGGTTAACTACAGAGTGTTATGCTTTGTTAATTACAGACAATGAGGCTTACCTTCTATTATTCTCTGGTCGTTGTCAGGTAAGGGTTCCGTCCTGCGGATGACGTAAACATCTCCTGGCACCTGTGCCCCTTTCACCAGGCTCTTGGTGCCGTCAGTCACCTGCAGTTCTGGCGTCCACAGCCTCTCCCAGTGTCTAACTTTATTGGTCTGATAGTTACTCGCCAAGTTGGCGAACGTCAGCCTCGAGTCGAACCATTTAGTGTGCCATATGGCGTCTATGGCAACGTTGAAGGAAGCCAGATCAAAGGTCCTGACGGAGGTGATGTTGATGAAGAACTGGATCGACAGTGGGTCATTGGTAAAGCTTGGTGGAAAGAGCTCCTCAGAGTAGCCCTTCGGCACGATAACAATCTCGCAGTTGAGCTCGTCGGACTGGTCGGGGCAGTCAGTGTAAGTGTCGCAGTTGTAATCCCTAGAGATGCAGGTGCCGTCTCCACAGGTGTACTCCTCGTCGCTGCATGGTGTCAACATCAGCTCCACCTGACCATAGAGATTAGTTAACAGGAGAAAAGCTCGTTCCCCTGAGGTTATATACTGTAGGAGGACAGGAAGGGGGGCAGAAGGAGGGCGACAAACTTTCTCAATCTCCAACTCTCCAGTCAGGATCCCTGTCCTGTAATAGTTCCAAAATTCTCTCTATTTTTTCTATCTCTGCATAACTACAAACACTCATTCTCTTAAACATGTCAACACTCATACAAAACTTATGGTAAAGCATCTAACAACACTGCAGCACCTGTACATTAATGTACAGTAAATCTACTAATTATACTATCGCAGCTTTATTGTATTCTTCTGTCGCTTAATAATTTACATGACCACTACACTGGGCTCGCCCTCTCGGAAACACTGACTATGCTATAGCTTACATTCACTCTCAACATTCTTCTGATGCTTCATCAAAAACTGTTTTTACGATTTTAATCTCGGTCTTTTTCTTACCTGTCTCTTGCTACATTTATCTCCGCTGATAGTCCAGTTATGGAGACCGATAGGGTAAGTATCGGGGGTGTCCGCGTGCATGACAGCCTTCAGTTTCTGGTGAAGGCGGCTCACCATCACCCAGCTCGTGTTGCTCCACACCACACGGCTGTGCAATACCCCGTCAAACTTGGGTTGCTCGTTCTCGTAGTCGTGCAAGTACAACTCACGGTCAAATAACGACGCTTGGCAGAGTCCCCGAAGTCGCAGCAAAGTTCGTGATGTAAAGTTACACAAGGAACATGAAGTGGTGAAATCTGCACATGGTGTCGTCCACCAGTGGTACATAGGAATCCTGCTGGCAACTGTCACACATTGTTTCTGGTCAATGACAGGTTGAGACGGGTTGGAGAAATTATGCCACGATATAGGTTCCTCGCTTGTTACCTGGACCCACTGTCCAGTTGAGAGGTCTCCTTTGACACCAGCCCAGTACAGAGACACGTAAGAGTCCTCGCAGCGTGAGTTGAAATGCTGGAATCTGTCGATGATGTTGATGTTGTCTTTGGCGTTTTTTGGAAGTGCGAGTGTTCCTCTCAGTCTACTGCAGATGGTGACACTATCCTGGAATTCTGTTTTCACAGGGATTAGAAGCAAGTACTCAGTTATATTCTTACATATTTCTTTATCAGAAATAGTTGATTTTCTGTTGGTCCTTTGATCTCAATACGACAGTCGTCCAGAGTGAGAAATGGCTGATTGGTCAACGCTGAAAGTCCTTCTGCACAGGTGGTGAAGCTGAGGAGTTCTTCTGGAGTCAAAAGCACATCGTAGAACCTGTAATCAGCGATCTCTCCGTCCATCGCCTGAGTAATGTCGAAGTCACCCCCTACACTATCCTGTTCTTGTCCTATGATCAGTCGACCGCCGCCCTTCATCTCAACTTTCCCCCCAGGTGTGATCTTCGACTGGTCTATGATAATCTTGTTTAACTGGGGGATGAAAATGGAATTTATCTCAGAAAATGAGGTATGGCAGATACATCAGCCATCTACTGTTACTAAATTTAACCAAAGCTAGACGTATAACATGGTGTGTGGATGAATTTTCCAGCTACACATAATCTGCCAAGAAATAATACTACCTTCCTTACTACACATTCACATCTGATTTTGAAACATTGTCTAAAGCTCTAAAGTGTTCCCTCTCATCTAACAAAAGATTTTATGCACCGATAACTCTCTGAATAATTATGTGAGCAGCGCTGGTATTATTGTAATCTCCCACTTCATCTGCACCTTACTGGAATCGTTGATGGCTCCCCCATGACTGCCATTACACCTTATGAAGTAATTAGAATGAGATGGGTTCATCAGAAATAAATCTGTCACTCATCTTGAAATTTCAAAATCTCAAGAGCGATTTAATTTTGTTTGAAGAATCATAGCTGGGATATGAACCAGCGAGAGTACGATTTTTATAATAGGATTTGATAAATTCACAGGTGCACAGAAGATACTCTGGGCTTACCTCACCATTAAACGCGAGGATCACTACGCCGTCTGCTGCCAGGTCCAAGGCCACACACATGTGCTGCCAGACGTACAACTTCACCACCAGAGTGAAGTATTCCAAGACCATTCCATGGCAACACTCAACCACTAGAGTACGCTTATGCCAGTGTAGAACTTAAACAATGGAATCTTTGTAGAAAACTTAAAATACCGATATGTGTGTCATTAATCTGCTGTTATTCTGTATCAGAGAAGATCATACTTTCCAAATATAAGATTATAAGATAAACACAATACACACAAAAAATGAGTGTCGAATTGTCTTAAAACTCAACTGAGATTATTGCTAAATTGGGTTTAATTTTGTATTTTTATTTTTATTGTTTCAACAACATCGACTTAAGTTAGGGATATCAGTTAATGTATGGCCAACTTTCCATTGTTCCAGTCACAACATCATTACTATCATAACCTAACCAAACTGTACAGTACACATACATTAAGTAAGGCTGCGTTAGTGTTTGTTATGTGACGTTATGTAAGGATATGTTTCGTTACGTTAAATTAAGATAAGTTACATCACGTAACGTGAGTTAAGTTAGTAATGATAATGTTTAATTATAACTTAATTGATTATTATGATCTCCATGATCATGACTACAGACACACCAGTTTAGAGGTACGAAAAAATATGAATTGTGTGTGTGTGTGTGTGTGCGCGCGCGCTCTTGTGAGTTACACTAAATAGGGACAATTGCCTATTAGCAATAATCTCTGTGTAGTTACGTTTTTTCCGGAAACATTCTGACTAGCCATATATACATACATATTAATATTTTCATGCAAGCCTAACCTAACCTGACCTAACCTAACCAAACCTAACCTAACCTAACCTAACCTAACCTAACCTAACCTAACCTAACCTTCTTTCGGTATAATTTTTCTATCTTATGGTAGAAAGCGACGACTTAAATAAATTAAAGCAAATTTTATTATTTACGAATTATTTCCACGACGTTATAGTAAAGAAAACGTAAAGTTATCCCTGTACAGTAAAAACGTTGGTTTGTTTTTTCAGTCGCAATCAGCGATATCCTCCATTTGGTGTGACACACACACACACACACCACAACCCTCACACAGGCCAGCGCTACTACACTGGCTTCCTCAACTTTTCTCACCAATTAACAGCTCGTTGTCGTTTTCTTGAGTGGCGTAGGTGACCGCTGGCACTCCCTTGCTTCCGTGCAGTAATCTGATGTGTAGACACACAGTCATCTGGTGTTAATAAATGAGGATAGCTATAATAATCCAACCTCGGATATGTTCAAAGGTTTATTATTTAAAGAACCTGCCCCTAGTAAAGTTCAAAAGATGTTTAAATTTGAAGAGGCGGTAATCAAATAGTTTCACTTTTTTCTGTATTTCAAGAGATGATTGAATTCTGAAGTGCCAACCGTATTGTTTGTGTCGCTGTCGTACTGACTGAAATGTAGTCTGGCTACAGTCGTATAGCACAGTGTTGCCACTCAGGCACAACGGGGTGGGAACTTTTGCAATTAATATGCTCGTGCAACATTCATTCATTGCATTGGCAGAGGATATTGAGGGCTTAGTTTATTGGGACCAATTGAAGAATATCCAACCCCAACTTAACTTAACTTAACTTAACTTAACTTAACCTATATTAACCGAACCCAACCGGCCAAAAGAGCGTTGTTGATTTTAAAATGTTATTACTGCGCTAAAAAACAATGAAGGTCTTTAAGCCGAAACACGGTTAGTAATACACTATGGACCTTCGACAACAAAAATTATGAGTGATTGACCTCTCTGTTATAATAGCGTTTAGGTGGTTATTCTTTAGGTGAAATAAGCTAAGATGGAGATTGTTGTCCGAGATCATGCAAGGTGCCGATAGCTACTTCAATGTGGACAGCTGTTGATCTCAGGATCACGGGAATGTCCAGTAAACCACGGTGCTGGAACTTGACAGTTACATCTTCCACCACAAGGACTTTGCCCAAAGGGGCAACTACTGTAAAGCTCCCTGCATGATGACATCTGCTTGGGAAGCGGCTGCTGCTCCATGCCAACACAAGTAGCGATATCCAAGCAATGCTTGAAATGGGCGAGGATAATTAATTCTTCTTATGTGCTGATCATAGTTTTTGACGATTCAATTTCAATAGTTTATTCCTTGATAGAGGAAGCGGGATCCTAGTGCTGTCACTAGGAACCCCTGTACAATAACACTAGAAGCATCTGGCATGTGTCACAAGTATATACAGTATAAATATTATAAAGGGGCTTACTAAAGCCTAAGAAAGGAATGATATACCTTTAACACATTATCAATATTATTTACATAATATCTGGCCAATATGGAGAGGATCATCGTGTCTCCGTCAGGGGGTCTTTGACGATTCATATTGTCTATTGTTGTATCGTCTTGAGCAACAGTTAAAGTAGAAGTAGGACTTAATTGACTGACATTTGGGGTTGCTACTAAGTCTCTGCTGACTTTCTTCATTTTATCTGCATGTACTATGTCTGTGACGTTTGTTGTAGTCTCAGCTAATAGGAATTTACTCCCATGTTCATTTGCTTTAATCAGGTATGGACCTGTGTATTTAGGAGAAAGTTTTGATATGCTTTTGGGGGCTTTAATCATTTACAGTGTCACCTATTTCTAGAGTTAGAGGCTTTGTGTTTTTATGTTACTTGCAGATCATTTCAGCACGTGAGGCTGCTAAATGTCTACGTACTGTACTATCGTGCACAAAAGTCGTGTCCACTACCCAGCCACAGTGAGGGTTCGAATAGCCTTGAGTCTGAAGTTTCGAAACAGCTGGGGGAAATGCTATGGTCGGCCAACAGATGTCGCTCACTGTAGTGTGTGTGGGGGGAAGGGGGGGAATAGAGGAGGTGGGGGCTGGATGAGAGGCAGGTTTATTTATTATTTATACCACCATAATTTCAAGCTGCCTTTTTAACTACGTTTTGTCTTACAGTTGTTTCTTTATGGTTACGAATTCATGGAACAGGTGCAGTGCCCAGGGTGCTTATTGCCGCTCAGGTCACAATGATACTTTAAAGAATG